TCTTTCTAATTCCTTGCCTCCATAAAATATTATGGAGAAGCCATGTCATGGGTGCTGGTCAAAAAAGGGAAAGTTTCAGGGAAATGAATTAGGAATTAGGGAAATGAATTAGGAAACACCATTAGCACAGTAGAGTTGCCAAAAATGGGCAATTAGTCCTAAAAAGGAAACTGGAAAGAAGATACAGCTAAATAAGCAAGATGAGATAACATTCTAGGCAAGCACCATACTCACCTACTGATAAGGGATGTTTATTATGTTATGGTGATGTATCTATCACCATATGGCTTGCATTTCCAGGTATAGATTATGTCAGGTAGGAGGTTGGGGAACTAAGAGTGAAAATTTAGAGAGAAATTTCATATTGAGTATTCTGGGATTTTGTGGAATACATAAATGTTTATATTAAAAATTCTTTTGTTTTGTTTCCATTTTTGTTTTTGGAGAGGGGATCTTGATTTGTTGTTGCCTGGCCATGAGAACAGTGGGAGATAGTGAAGTCAGATTAGGGAAAAATTTACATCTTTAAAATCTCTAAACTCGAACTGAAATTTAACATCTTTGCTTGTACCATAAGTGATGAAAAGTCACATTTTTAAGAATCACAATTGGCTTGGCACCTGTAGCTCAGCAGCTTGAGTGCCAGCCACGTACACTGGAGCTGGCGGGTTCAAATCCAGCCCCGCCCTGCCAAACAATAATGACAACTATACCCCAAAATTAGCCATGCTTGGGGCAGTGCCTGTGGCTCAAAGGAGTAGGGTGCTGGCCCCATATGCCAGAGGTGGTGGGTTCAAACCCAGCCCTGGCCAAAAACTGTAAAAAAAAAAAAAAAAATTAGCTGGGCATTTTGGCAGGCACCTATAGTCCCAGCTACTTGGGAGATTGAGGCAAGAGAATTGCTTAACCCCAAGAGCTGGTTGCTGTGAGCTATGATGCCATGGCACTTTATCCAGGGTGACATAGTGAGACTCTGTCTCAAAAAAAAAAATCACAATACAGTTGTTATAAATATATTTGTTTTGAAATTATACTCCTCATAAGGCAGGTCTTGATATTTAATTTTTAATACATTAATAAAGAAACACACATGACTCACAAATTAAACATTTGATAATTATTTTGGTTAGCGTAATTGGTTTTCTTTATCCATCTTTTTGGTTTTAAAAAACTATTCAAAAGGGCTTCCTGGTCTTCCTTCTGGGGCCAGAGGTTACAAAGCCCTGCAGATAGTTACAATTCCAGAAGAGACTTCCCAATGATGTTAGGGCCAGGGAGTGAAGACAAGCAAGGACTTCCAGGGGTCTGGAGAAATGCCAGAGAGAACTTAGTCTCCCCTCCCCTACCCAGCTGGGGAATCCATCCACTCTGGAGCAAGTTGGCCCCAGTGCAAGGTAACCCTGAGAGGTGGAATCTCCCAGCCACCTAGAAGGGGTGTGAAGTGCTCCCTGGAGCAGAGCAGCTGGAAGACAAGGAGGGGGGTATCAGGGGGCCTTGGGTGATTCAAGTTTTGGTAGGTCATTTGTATGACCCAGGATGGTAGCCACTAGAGCAGGCATCCTCAAACTACAGCCTGTGGGCCACATGCAGCCTGACTAGGACATCTATCTGGCCCGCTGGGTATTTTTGCCGCCGTTGCCTGTCCTGCTTAGCCCGCAGTCCGGCCCTCCAACGGTCTGAGGGACAGTGAACTGGCCCCCTGTTTAAAAAGTTTGAGGACCCCTGCACTAGAGGGTTTTAAGAGAGGAATGATGTACATTTTACAAGGACCACTGTAACCACTATTGAGAAAATATAGTGGAACAAGAGCAGATATAGAAAAGTAAATTTTCCTCCCTCTTATTTCCAACCCTTCCAAGGCTAATGTCACAGATTTGAGGGTGAAAAATTTGATATGAAGAACTCTGAATCACTCAGGCTTACTTACTCATGTTACACAGCCAAATTCATGAAATAGTTGTAAACCAAGATGTTAATTTGTAAATCTGTAGGTAGGTCTGTAAGTGCCAAATGAACCAGGAAAGTGAGCAAAAAGATTTAAAGACTGACTTATGATTTCCTAATTTGCTTTTCCCCACTTCAGGAATAGTTCTTTTTATTTTTCCAGAGATTTCATAGGCACCTATCCAGAGGAATATTTCTATCTAAAATAGTAGCATCCTTGTGCAGAAGCAATAACTTTCTAGCTTTATGTGGCTAAAGATGTACTAAAAATCTAAATTTTAAGACCACTTTCCCTCCTGGAATATATCATCCTCTCATTACTGCACTTCAATGGAAATTTTAACTGTTTAGCTTGTAGAATATGGTCATTTTTTCATTTGATGGTTTCCTAATACCTTAGAAGTTCCTTACTTAGTTTACTCAGAAATACCAAATTGTTTTCTGCAATTTAACTAAATGTAAAGTTAAATGAGAGTATTATTATACTCATTGCATTGTGGAGATAAAGTTATACATGTAAATCACTGGACACACACAGGATTTGGCAAACAAGTAAAAAAAAAAAAATCATCCTTATAAGGCCAAGAGCACTGGCTCACTTCTCTAATCCTAGCACTCTGGGAGGCTGAGGTGGGTGGACTGCCTCAGCCCACAGGTTTGAGACCAGCCTGAGCCAGATCAAGACCTCGTTTCTAAAAGTAGCTGAGAGTTGTGGCGGGCACCTGTAGTCCCAGCTACTTCGGAAGCTGAGGCAAGAGAATGGCTTAAGCCCAAGATTTTGAGGTTGCTATGAGCTATGATGCCATGCACTCTACCAAAGGTGGCAAAGTGAGACTCTGTCTCAAGAAAAATAAATAAATCATCCTTATAGTCAAAAGCATAAGGTTTGTTGTTATTCATTTTAATCTTTTTTTAGTTGACAAATAATTTATTGACTATCTACTATGCACTAATTCCCTTAACATCTTTGCAAATGTTATTACTCTGACTAGAAGCCTTTTCCCCATTTCTTCCTGACCACCCTCTATCTGTTTTCATTTTGCTGTTCAGCTGTCAACATGCTCCAGGAAATCCTTCCTAAGACCCCTGGCATCAGAGTCCCAGTTTCCTTCAGTGTTATCAGAACACAAAGCATACTACTGTGTGCTCTAACCAATTCTCTACCCCATTCAACTTTGAATTCTGAAGACAGAGAATGTTTCTTTTATCTTTGATCCTGATTTGCCATCTAGCAAAGAGAAAGCACAGATAAGTATTTGTTGTTGACCAAAGAAAATGGAATGGGAATAGTTGAACAGAGGAAGCATAGTGACACAGCATGACAAAGGACAACTGCCAGGAATTCACTATTACAAAGGGAAATATTGTTGTATTACGTAATTCCAGTTTTAGTATGTACACTACTGGGTTTAGTAAGGGCCTCATATGGAGAGGCCTGGCTCTGAGTTTTGCAGAGTAATCTTTTTTTTTCTTTTCAGTTTTTCCATAGTCATTAAATCCTGGTAAATATGAATTTTTTTTTCAAATTTCCAACAGAGCTTTATGCTTCCATATGCTAATTGATGCATTATAATACTAATCATTTCCATTTAGTATCTCTAATTCTTTTTAGAAACTTTACAAAATAGGTATTATTTCTTGTTTTGCTACTGAGGAAACTGTGGCTCAAAGAGGTTAATGCCAAGTTTGGCATTCATTATTACAGTCTTACTATGTCGCCCTTGGTAGAGTGCTGTTGCATCACAGCTCATAGCAACCTCCAACTCTTGGGCTTAAGTGATTCTCTTGCCTCAGCCTCCCAGGCAGCTGGGACTACAGGTGCCCACCACAATGCCCGGCTATTTTTTGTTGCAGTTGTCATTGTTGTTTAGCTGGCCCAGGCTGAGTTCAAACCTGCCACCCTGGGTGTATGTGGCTGGTGCCATAACCACTGTGCTATGGGCACCAAGGCCCCTTTCCCCCCTTTTTAAACTGAGTTTAGTGAAGTAGCTGGATTTATTTGTTTCATTAAATCATAATTGTGTACATTAATGCATTTGTGGGGTACAGTGTGTTGATTTTATATACAATTTGGAATGCTTACATCAAACTGGATCCAATTCACTCCTTCATAGCTCCCTACCAGGTCCAGGTCATCAACATATTTTGCCAGGTCTGGACAACTAACTGGTCTTTCTCCTTCCACTCTTGGCATTTTACAGAATACTGCACATGCAGCAGCCATACACACACATACGCATATATGTATATACCACCTCAGCTTATGTCATTTCTTTGCTTAAAACTCTAATAGCATCCCATTAGAGAAAACTTCAGAGAAAACTTACAGGCTGCAAAAAGCCTTCATTTTTCTGACCCCTGACTATCTATGTAATCATATCAACTATGATTCTTCCTCACTCTCACTCTAGTTCAGCTATTTTTGCCTTGTTTTTGCTAAACATATTTTCATTTTATCTCTTTGTGCCTGCTATTCCCTCTGCTGGAATGCTCTCCCCTCAGATTCACATCTTTTGTTCATTTGCTTCATTAAGGCCTCTGCTCAAATGTCATTTCATGGGAGGACTTCCCTAACCACTCTAAATATTAATAGCATCCACCTAGCCTTTTTTACGTAAGGCCTTTTGTTGCATGAATTTATGTACTTTCTACCCTTTACATCTTTCCCATCTGGAACATAAGTTTTGAGGATACAAAGACTTTTTAAAAAATTGTTGTAACCCCAGCCCCTGGACTATGCCTAACATTAGAAAAAGGAATAGAAGGCATAAGGACTAAGAAGAAACAAAACTGTTTGTATATACAGAACATATGGGTGTCTATGTAAGAAATACATAAGAATTTACAGATAGGAGAATTAATGAGCAGTAGTAAGGTTGCTTGATACAAAAATTAAAACCAACATTAGCTAAAAACAGAAAATGTAACAACTGAAAATATACCATATAAAATAGTTATATGAGTATAAAATTCCTAGGAAATAGTAACAAAAGACATTTATGGAGAAAATTATAAAACTTTATTGAAAGATATTTTAAAAGCCTAAATGGAGCGCTATACCATGTTTTTGGATTGGAAGACAACACTGTAAAGATGAGATGGCTCACCAATTAATTTATAAATTTAACACAAATCCCATCAAAATTCCAACATGGTTTTTGGTTTGATTTAGAACTTGTCAGTCTAATCCTAGAAGTTGTATGGAAAGCAAATGTCTGAGAATAGCCAAGACATTGGAGGCATCTTGGTTTTTATCAAGATTTTTTTCTAAAGTAATCAGGACTGTATAGTAGTACCACAAGGTTAGATAAATTGACAAGCGAGTCAGAATAAAAACCATCAACAGAACCACATACATCAAAGAGCCAGGGTTACAGATCAGTGGGGAAAGGACAACTTAACAGTGCTAAGACAAGCACTTATCCATATGGGAAAAAAATATTAAACTGAACTTCTACCTTATGCTTTTCACAAAAATCAGTTTAGGACAGATTAAAGACAAATGTGAAAAACAAAACTACAAAACTTTTACAACACTAAAGAATACCTTTATGACTCTGGGTAGGAAATGATCTCCCTAAGCCAAATTGTATTCAGCTTTACAAGATAATTTTCAAAAACAGTTACTTCCAGTAGGTCATGGGTGACAACCTATAACCTTTTATTATATAACTTCTAAATTCCTCTCCTACAAAAGTCCATTCTAAAAGTCAGTAAAGTCTTTTGTTGCTGCTTTGAACAGGAAAGGTTTTCAGGAGGCTGGGGCACTTTATGTGAGGCATCTGTAAGCTTTTCACAGGCCAACTCTGACATGGAGGAAATGAACTACGACCTGCAGGGTTCTCAATGGGGATGAATCCACAAACTGAAAACAGGAATCTTGGCTTTTTTGAGTGACCACATCTCAATGTCATTTCTTGAGAGCTTGAGTTTTATTACCTAACACAGTTGATGTTAGGAGTGGCAAGGCTAAGCCTATGCTGATGGCATCAGGGAAGGAGGACATTAAGTTTAGCTTCCCCATGCTGTAAGGCTTCTGTGCCAAAGCGGCTAATGTGTGAATGTCAGAGACGCTCTCCCGGGAACCAAGAACAATCTTCAAAAACCAAGACAGAAAATCCTACTTTCCTCCATTTCAATTCCGTTTCTGAGACACATTCTATTAGTGGTATTTGCCCTTTCCACAAAGAACAACAAAGTGTCCTGTGTGCTAACAACATAAAAAACCCTCAAAATTCTACATTTTTATAAAACTTGATTAAAAAAAATAGTATTTCAAATACTAGAGTCACTAAAAGTACAGAGCTATCAAAAGTGCATCCCCAGTGCATTTCACTTGGCATCCCCAGTGCCTTCTGCTTTCTGGGACTGGACTGTAGAGGCATCTCTGTTTTTTGCAGGATTGTTCCCATCCTTGCCAGCATCTGCTTTTCCCTTTCTCCCTTTGGGAAGCCTTTCTCCCTTCTTTGCAGGGCCCTTTCTAGGCCTAGGCTCTGGTTTTGGAGGGGCAGGTTTAGCAGACAACCGTGCTGATCTCCTCTGTGGCTCATCCTTCATCTTTGGTTTATCACCTTTAGCATCTCCTTTTGCCTTTCTCTTGGGCATGGTGGCTGTAAGTGCTTGGCAGGTGGCTTTGTCCAGGAGGTGCCTGTCTTCCTCACACTGCTCCTAGAAAGATTTCTTTAGCAAGACATAAAAAGTGTAGCCCATAAAGAGAAAGACTGACAAATTTAACCTTAAAAATAAAATTTAACTATACTGTTAATAACTTATATCAAAAAGATAGCATAAAAAGAAAACAATAAATTACCAATACAATTTGAGCTTGCAATAACAAAAAAGTCTAACCTATTCCAGTGCTCTCTCTTTGTGGGACAAGCCATTATATAGACTTTAACAGTGGAAATAAAAAAAAAATTTACCAACTGGGCACAGATATTTCTAATACTTATAACTAACAAAGGAATAGAATCCAGAATACACAAAGAATTCTTGGGTTAGGCATGGTGGCTCACACCTATAATTCTAGCATTTTGGGAGGCTGAAGTAGGAGGATTGCTTGAGGTCAGTAGTTTGAGACCAACTTGGGGAACACTGTAAGTCTATACAAATAAATGGGCATGATGGGTATAAGCACATAAAATATGTAATATGAGAAATACATATTAAAACCATAGGATATAACATTTTATACCCATCAAATTGATGAAAACTAAATTTTCTGATAATATCAAGGGCTCACCAGATGTGGACCAATCAAAACCCTTATGTCCCGATGGGGGAGGGGTGTGCAAATTAGTATATTCACTTTGGAAAACAATGTGGTATGTGTATTACCACCTCCAAGAGTTGGAGGTTGCTGTGGGCTGTGACGCCAGGGCAGTCTACCGAGGGTGACACAGTGAGACTGTGTCTCAAAAACAAACAAACAAACAAAAAAAAACTTTAAACCACTCAAATGTCCTTCAATAGTGGAATGGATAGATACATTTTGGTAATATCTATAAACAGGAATACTGTTCAGAAGCAGAAACAAATTACAGCTACATGTAAAAACAAGGATGACTCACAAGAACATAATATTTAGCAAAGTCAAGCTAGAGAAGAACATGTTTAGTATAGATGTAAATATGCGTGAAACACTGACACATCTGGGTAACCAGCAGGCAGTAAAACTAGTAAAAGGGATCATCTCTTGATGGGTGGAAAGGGGTGTGTCTGCATGGGGCGTGGAGGTTAGTCCAGAGATAAGGAAGTGGGACATAAGCACATAAAACTCTCTCCTTTAAGTCTAGGAGGAAGAAAGTACATGGCTGATGTGTTCTCCATATCTTACACAGAAAAACTATGTGTCTGCTCAAGAATAAAAAAAATTTTTTTAAACATGGGTAGCCCAGAGCACAGCTTCAGAGACATACAGGTAGGAATAGAAAATGGAAGCTAGTAGGTCTCTGCTGTTCCTGGCTCTCTGGTGCTGTGTCACTACACAGACTCCAAGCAGCTCCCTGATGACTCTGGAGGTCTGTAGTAGCAGTAGGAATGACCTCATGGTTCTAGTGGCAGATTGGAGATGCCTCGTTCTCTAGTGGCATACTAGAAACAGCTTACATGTGTTGCTCTCAAAGGGAGGATCAAAATGTACAGGTGGATACCCATCTATGAATAAGTCTTCTTGGTGAGAGCATTGTGAATCATTGGAGAAGGAAAAGGGGACACTCAGAGTGAAGGAAAAGGTAACAGGGTGATCCACTTGGCAAGACTGGAAGGTACCTAGGAGAGGCATCCACATGTGGGAAAGGATAGGAGAGAACCCTGGGGCTCCACACTCCTACCACACAGATGCTGCTGCATGCCACACTTATGGCATGAAAATTATTTGGTCTAATAATAGGAGTGTGACTTGATTTACATCTGTTGCCCAAGTATTTATTAATCATGCTGACAGACATGATGGCTCATGCTTCCAGGGTTTGAGAGGCCAAGAAAGAAGGATCACTTGAGCCCAGGATTTCAAGGCTGCAGTGAGCTATGACTGAACCACGGCCACTCCAGCCTGAACAATAGAGCAGGGCTCTGTTCCTTAAAAAGAAAAAAATGCTCCTTTTTACTTTCAAGTTTCCCAACTTGGACAATAAGGTTATACTAAATAGTCTGTATATATTCTTAGAGACCTTTATGTTAAAAGAATGAGACTATTTACCAAAGAGTGAGCTTTTGATCTAGGACACATTTCCCTAAAGAGTTGACACTCTATGCCATTCTCCTTCTGTCTCACTCTAAAATTGTGTTTCTCAGCCTATCTCCTGGAGCAGAAATGCTCATATAGTCTGTTTCCTGGATTACAGTCTTCTTCAAGTTAGATCCCTTATAACCCTTCCCAAGTGTGTTTGTGTTTGTGTGTGGGGGGATATCCATGATCCCCACGTATCAAAGGCCAAAACTCAGCAAGTAACAAGGTCAGAGAAATCAGGCTGCTGCCTGAATGCTATATCTGAGTATGAGGATGGATTTAATTCTCGAAACTCACCTTTAAGAAGCTGATCAGGAGACCAGGAGGCTGACTCTTCAGAGACCTTACAAATGTAGGAGACAGATAAACAAATAATGAAAAAGAGCCAGAGGAATAAAAGTTCATTTCATTTCCACAAAGGTCAAGAAGGGTTGGAGAAGGAAGGGGCTCTTACCACACAGTGGTATTAACTTAAAAGAATTATTTGAGGTGAAGCAGACAAGATTTTTAGGGCAATGAAACTATTCTGTATGCTACTGTAATGGTGTATATTATACATTGTATAATAGTGGACACCATACATTTGATAAAACCCATTGAACTTTATATAATAAGTTAACTCTAGTGTAAACTATGAATCTTAGTCAATAATAAGGTATCAATATTGGTTCATTAATTTTTTTTTTTTTTTTTAGCCAAAGCAACTTTGTTGCTCTTGGTACATTGTTGTGGCATCATAGATAACAGCAACCTCAAACTCTTGGGTTCAAGCAATCCTCTTGCCTCAGCCTCCCACACAGATGGGACTACAGGTGCCTACCACAATGTCCAGCTATTTTTCAGAGACAGGGGTCTCACTCTTGCTCAGGCTGGTATGAAAGTAATCCACATACCTTGGACTCCCAGAGTGCTAGGATTACAGGTGTGAGCCACCATAACTGGCCTTGGTTCATCAACTGTAATACATGTATCATCACATTTTAAGTTGTTAATAGTGATAGAGGGAAAGAGAGTATGTGGGACCTCACTGTACTTTCTGCTCAATTTTCTGTAAACCTAAAATTGCTTGAAAAATTAAATCTAGGCTCCGTGCCTGTGGCTCAAGTGGCTAAGGCACCAGCCA